CTTTCGACCCAGAACTCGTTTCTCCGCCTCGATTCCAACGCCGGGACCTGAAATATGACACAAACACACAACCTGGCGTAAAATCGGCTTAAAACACGAGATTCCTCAGCACAAACGGCTCCAGAATAGGGGTGAAAATATGTATAATTATCGGTCTATCAGATGCCAAGGTCATCATTGATAAAATCAATTGTAAGGATGCTAGTGATAACCGGATGGGTGCCATTTTGGAAGAAGTCTTACAATATTTTGGTAGCAACCCCGGGTTTAGTGTGCGATTTGTAGGTCGGCGTAGTAATAGGGTAGCCCATTTGGTGGCTAGAAAAGCCCTCTCTTTGTGCCCGACCATGAGTCGTTTCTTTGATTTTTGGGCATGGCTTGGTTCCATGATGTAACTATCTATGTTTTTTGTATCAAATATGATTATCTTTTGTCAAAAAAAAAAGAGAATACATTATTGATAATGCACCATTCGTATTTTTTGAACATTATATGTAATTGAAAATATCGAGTTTATGTAGTTAGGCTGCAGCTCAAGGAGGGCAGAGAAAGGGTGCAATTGTGGTTAACCGTAATCGAAATTAAGTCATATACGTCAACCGTAATGGCACCAAAATGGTTTGCGATTATCGGATTAATAGTGGTTAACCACGTTAAAAATTGAAACTGAGTTGATGATACAAATTCTGAACAGAGAACACGAGAAGGAATGAGGTTTTTTAGATGCTTGTGTTTTGTTTAGGCTTCAACATTTAGGGATGGCCGAGTGGGAATACAAGGTCGAACTTTTGTTTTTTAGGACTGAAGCCCTGAGACGCTAGCCAGTGAACACTTATTCGGTTAGTTAACTAGTTGTCACTTATTCGATTGCGGCAAACCGCTAATCACAAAACAACACATATCCTTAACTGCAACCACATAAACTCATTTTTGTTCGTGAACAAGAGCATGGTCCAGTGGTAATGCTACTGGTCTTCAACTAGATATTCAAGTTTGAATTCCTTAAATAGCACCCGATAAAACCCAAACACATATCAACTTTATAAAAAATAAAACTTGTTATTTGGTACCATGCGATTTCAAGGCGGTTACCAGTTTAACACAACTGTGTTCCCACCCCTAGACTAAGGACAGTGTTGTCCAAATGGTCGTTCTAAACTCTTACTCATGGTCGATTCGATCTCTATCTCTATCCGACCATCAATATAACCTGAACACCAACTTTAGTTCAGAGCTTGGTTTCCTCATGTGCTCATCATGAGTTCCTCCAAGTGTCGACATCATCTACCGAAATGACTTAAAGAGTGAGCACAAAATGTTGTTATACACAAAAATAATGACAACACTCTCGCTCTCGCATATGCACCAACAACCAACCTGCCCTTCTTCATATATTCTCCATCACATATAGTCTGCACGCAAACTCCTGTGACCAATGTTCATTCTCAAAACCGTTACACCAGATCGTTTGTTTCATTCCGGCCGAACACTTTGTCTCCCTCTCCCTCGATGGGCAACTAGGATTCCTTTCCGGAAGATTGTTTCTCGGAGATTGTCAAAATTGGGTCGCTCAATTAGTACGATATTGTCTGCTTTGGGCCAAGCTCGCACGGATTTACTTTTGGGTTCCTATTACCAGATTCTTGTCTCCTGCTACTCGTAGCAGCCAACCAAGATGCCTGATTTTCCGAACCAGAACCAAACACCTTATGTCGAACCTCCCTAGTATGTAGAGCATATCTGACATCTTCCAAAGACAAACTATCTTTCCCAGCAATAAAAGAATCCACAAAATTCTCATATGACTGTGGCAAAGATAGTAACAGAATTAAGGCAGCATCCTCATCATCTACTTTAACATCAATATTTGCGGTCCTCCTTGATCAGCAGTACGGCCGTTGGCGGGCCCTTGCTAGCTGGATGGATAAACCAAGTTGGATCCGGTTGTGGGAGGCTAACATTCCTCCGAAGCTGAAGGTGTTTGTCTGGAAAATCTTTAATCGAATTCTGCCAACGACGGAAGCACTTATTGAAAGAAAGGTTGCGGTTCTGCCCCGCTGTCTTGTGTGCTGGGCTGTTACAGATATACTGGAACATATGTTCCTTGATTGTCAGGTGGCCAGGGCGATTTGGGAGCAATCTGGTTTAGATTCTCTTGGTGAGGGTTTGCCTCGTCATACGTTTCCTCTCTTTCTAAAAAAGTTGTTGTCCATTATCCATCACCCTTTGCAGATCATCGCGGTGGTTGCTGCCCTTTGGACGATTTGCAGATCTCGTAACTGGGTTATCTTTGAAGGTAACCGTTCGGAATTCCTGCCTTAATGAGGCAGTATAACCAGCAGGTTGAGGAATGATTCCGTTTACCAAGTGATCATCACCTCCTATCAGTAGGGGTGAACAAACACACCCGCAAACCGACCCACCCGTCCAACCCGACCCAACCCACCCGTATTTATCGCTAAAACGAAGGTTTTGGGTTGGGTGAGGGTTTTCTTTTGTACAACCCGCCTCTTTTGGGTTGGGTTTGGATTTTGGATTACACAACCCGTAGAACCCGACCCAACCCGTGTTTCAACTATTCGTATGAGTTCGGATCTAAAAAATATTTATGTCGTATATAGTCATATACTTATGAGAAAATTAAGATATTTCGGCATATTTTTCTCTCATGGTCTCCCTAATCTAATGCATTCTTCGATTGAAAGTTTAGACATAAACTGAATATAGTTATGATTCACGTAATCCTTTTTCTTGTATACAATTTTAATAGAATAATATATTATGGATGCGTTTGTTTATAACATTTTTAGCCTATTTCAACAAATATTGTGAAAAAAACAAGACATATGTTGAAGTAGATCACATTTTATTAAAATTCAAACAACATTTGTGATTTTTGATACCTTTCACATCGGTTCATTCGTTTGAAATTTTAATTAGTTATAAAATATTTTTATGATATAGAATAGTTATATATTTTATGTTGGGTTGGATTTTTACTTAAAAATATCGCCAACCCGACCCAATCCAATTAGAAACAAACCGTAGGGTTTAAATTATTTTGGGTGGGTTTGGGTTTGATATTTCTCAAACCGTAGTGCATGGGTCGGGTGATTAAAATGACTAAACCCGAACCACCCGACCCATGTACACCCCTACCTATCAGTGCCTAGTGTACCGCCTCCTTCGATGGATCCGGCTATGCTTGGTGTGCATGCGCGTAGGTGGGACGGGGCACTTAGAAGTGGGTCTCATTCAGCAGGGGGATGGTTATCCTCGATGATCCAATGGTAGTGGAGCTACTTGTCCTCCGTGAGGTTGTCCGATGGTGTTTGGAGCAGGGCTTTCTAGCAATGCAATTTGAGGTTGATGCTAAAGTTGTCATTGATAACATCCGTCGAGCTGATGTTCGTGATAGTCGGGTGGGGACTATTTTGGAATAGATTGTACAGATCTTCGTTTTAAATCCGGACTTTAGTGTGCGATTTGTAGGTCGGGGTAGCAATAGGGTAGCTCATTTGGTAGCTAGACAGGCCTTGTCTTTGTTCTCGTCTAAGTGTCGTTTCTTTGATTTTCAAACCTGGCTGAATTCCAGGACGTAACTATCTATTTGTTTCAATCAATATATGATTACCTTTTGTAAGAAAAAATTATTTAGTTGATCTAGATGATTCCTGAGAGACGTACCTTCCTCCATATGCAAATTGAACAAATGTTGCTTCATATGCAACTTGTTGGTTAAAGACTTTGTCATGTATAGATTTTCAAGCTTCAACCACAAGCTCGCGACAGTCTTCTCAACGACAACCTCAGTGATGATGTCATCGGCCAAACAAAGCAAGATTATAGAGTGAGCTTTCTTCTCCAAAGTACTCCACTCTTCTTCATCTATACTATCCTTCTTCGATTTTCCAGACAACGGAATCCACAAACCCTGTTGTTTCAACAGTGCTTGCATCTTGATTTGCCACAAACTGAAACTATTTCTACTAGTGAACTTGTCAATTTTCATACTGATAGCAGCCATTCAAAAAAACTCTAACCAAAAGCTGAATTCCCAAGACGACGAAACTCACGAACACCCTAACAAATGCAACCCTGCTTCTCCGTTCCCAATTGATGCTACACCAACAACATATTCCTCTTTACAGCATTGGCGCTGACCTCTGGGTCACAATTATTATAGATGATTTTATTTCCCACTCTTTCTACGCATAATCAAAGAAAAAAAAACTCAATTGGAATTAGTAATTCCAAACACCACACAAACTTCCCAATTCAAAGAATTCGTTCCCAAAATAAATTCCCACGCTGCAGCAACTCAATACTTCCAAAGTGGCTTCCAAACTCCAAGTAAAGCTGACACACAATCAACACCCCAATGCTTGGACACAGATGGAATTAATCCAATCCTTGATGACAAACAACAACGAGAAGGGAATTTTTCGGCCGCGACCAATTTCCTTCCGGATGAAATCCCAAAATCTAGCACTGCCGTGCATCAGTGCCTCGTTGGTTTGCTCGTCGATCTAGGAGAAATTCCTGCCGCCGGATCGTCAAGGAATCATGTCGAGAATGAGCTTGTCGTCGGAGGAGGATTGTTCGTCAACAAGGAGCTGTACTTGAAGCTATGTGAATCGCAATTGCTCGACGGAGGTTAAAAAAAAAGTATATATCGATCTAAGGCCTAAATGTAGCCATTCACTAGTACTTGTGAGAGAATTTAAATTTTAATATATATACCGAGTAGGAAAGTATTAAAACTTACAGCTATCGCAACCATCTACCAACATTTAACAATTGCATCGACCACCCATCATCATCGTTTACAAAATCTACAATCATCCGATTACTTCATTAGTTAATGTTTATTATACTTTCACCCATATAAGTTGATTGTATAAGCATGTACAAAACAACACCACCACCTTAGCAAATTCATCATATAAGCATCTCCTTTATCCTTTTTGTTGGATTTGTATGGTGAATTTTTAGATTAGATGTTTTGGATTGAGAAATCAAATGGGAAGAAGCACTTCGCATTGGCCGCAGACAATCCCCTTTACTGGACATGGAAGAGGCCCACCCAAGAACATTATCCAACCGGGTTTCGAGAAGTCGTGGAGCTTCGGACCATCTGCTGGCTCGAAATCCAAGCCCATTTCCCAACCAAGTTCCTCTCCCCATACACAACCTACGCGCCCTACCTCGTGCTCCAGCTAGCCGACCGAGCTTATGGGTTGGACTTACTGCCAGCCCACGTGTCGGTCAAAGTCGGAAACTTTGATTTCGAAGGTGAAGTCCTCCTACGTCGTCGTTTTGAAAAAGATTATATAGCGAGAGTCAGAAGAGAGTTAGATACACATTTATATTTAACTGGAAGAATCTCATCGTCATCGGGTTATCTTCCTTCAACGAATTCAGGGGCCTCGAAAGGTAAGATGTCGATCGAGTGAGGAGATGGGTGGTTGGAGATCGAACTGGGGAGATTTTATAATGGAGGAGATGGTGATGGTGAAGAGATGTGCCTAAAGGAGGTTGATGGTGTGCACTTGAAAGGCGGGCTTATTGTTGAGTCTATTGAGATTAGACCCAACTCTTTCTAATTCATCTTCATCATACAATCATTATATGGAGATTCTTTTCTAGCACCCACTTATTCTCCTTTTTCCTGGCTCCTGCGCAAGTCACAGAATCCTCCAAATAATATAAAGAAGTTCCTAGCCAGAACCCACTCCGTTCCCTTTTCTCTGGCTTATGCGCAGAGTTCGGAAGGAGCTTTTTGTCTTTTGCTATTTTAAACAGCCTAACTCTATTAAAATATCAACAAAGTTGAACCCTGTTCCTTCCTCAGGCCCAACTCCTAAGTCCTAACACGTCCAGCCCTTAACAGTTGAGGATTCTTTCTTTCTTTTTTGTAGAAATTGCGAGAGAAGCAACTAAGTTCACTTATTACTGGATCTCTTCATTTTTTGTTCCTTACTTCATACTTTAATGAAATAATTTTTTAATAAGAGTGGTATATGTTTGTTTTTCATTATAAGGTGTTACTTGAGTGATTTAGAATGTTGATATATATAGTTTATTCTTTATACCAGGAAAGACCATCCAAACATGCAAATAGAACTATCGTCAAAAATTGAATGTAAGTTCATATGTTTTTATTAGCATAATAATTTTATATATCTTACAATTTAATGTGTGTACATGTCACATGTGATTTAGGAAAAAAGAAGTCATTTTCATGCCAAAATATTGCTTCGTGTCTTACATTAAGCCAAAATTCAAGAATGTTTAGATAATGACTATATCAAATTTCCAACATATGATTAGCTTTCTTGAGGATCTTCACTGAAGCTATGCGTTAAGCGTTTAGCATCTTAGCTAATTATATTTGATATCCTAGATTAATGCATCTAACCAAAAAGTTATGGTCATAAATTGTTAGTACAATTTTAGGTGTATAGTCAATACACTGATCACAAAGTTCTTATTTCAAAACTGATGAATGAAACCACCAGAAAATAGTAAGAAAAAAGCTTGCTTTTGTCATAGCGAGGTCCCCGACGAGGGCCCCCACGACAGGCTATTAGCTTAGTGGAAGAGCACCCCTGATAATTCCACTCACCTGTTTGGGTTAGAATTCGTGCAAACACTATTGAAGATATGAATGAAGGCAAGTCTTAAAGGGTATGGTACAACAAAACAACTACAACAATAATTCCAACGACACGAGAGCTCCAAGAAACAAAAAGACACGTCACTAACGGAAACGACCTTCAAGATAGCCTGCCAGCGAGTGTGTATATTTGATCAATGTATTAGAATTATTAACTCATAATTGAGTCATTTAGGATGAAGTAAAATGACTGAGGATTTTTGTCAAGTAATTGAATTATTAATTTTCATTCATATTAAAAGTAATAAGAAATTAAGGTCTCCAATTTAAACAAATAACTCATGAGTTTCAATAAATTACCTTAATTATCCAAGCATGCGATGATATTTTATCATATGAACGTACAAATTTAAATGTTATCTAAAAAACTAAATGAGATGAAATAAAGAATATTTCTTTCAAGATTTTATTATTATACTTTGTATGATAGTGAACATTTCATATTTACTTCAATTTGATGCTATTGGCAAAACAATCACAAAAAAATCAAAAAATAGCAGTAATCTCTAACAGCAAGTAGTAAATCAAAGTGTGGTTTTGCAAAATATTTTAGGAGTCGATCCCTCGCAAAGATTTTATCGACTACTTTCTGTACGAACCTTTTTCAATGAATTAGTTAGGATGTCAGAATACGATGTAGTTTTTTTTTTTTTTTTTGCAATTATTAAACAGTTTGGATTATTTTTTATCTTAATGGCAGAGCAATCACAAAAAAATCTAAAAATGTGCAGTAATTTCTAAGAACAATTAGTAAATCAAATTGTGGTTTTGCAAAATATTTTAGGAGTCGATCCCTCGCAAAGATTTTATCACCTACTTTCTGTACGAACCTTTTTCAATGAATTAGTTAGGATGTCGGAATACGATGTAGTTATTTTTTTTTTTTTTTGCAATTGTTAAACAATTTGGATTATATCTATATACTAAATAAATTTTTTATCTTACTTTATACAATTGATATTGTTGTTTATGTTCATTGAGAAAATGTATCCGGCCAACGGACGGGCCCAAATCTAGTGATTATATAGTCTTTTCCTTTAGTTCTGTTGGGCCTCTAGGCCCTTTACTTATTTCAAAGCAAGAGGCGGAAATATGAGATGGGCATTTTGGACCTCTCCTAACTCTCACAAAACTACATTATATAAAGGTAGAAGAATGAAATTGCATTCAAGTCTATAATTCTTCAATCTTTCATTAAATTAAATTTCAAAGTTGTACTAAGAAGGCAATAATTATAATTATATATATTGAAGTTCTTATTATATAAAGAGCTGATCTCTATTTTTTTATTTAATTACATAAATTTTCTACTTTAACTTTGTGCTTATACGTATTTTGAGAGTTACTCCAAGGTCCGTAGTGAAATCAAATTAATTGTTTGATTGATATTTTAATGGAAGGTTAGTCTATATGCAATCTCAACTGATATCCAATCTAACAACTAAAAACATTTGTATTATTGTGTCGAGTTGAGGAAGTGCTGGCAATCAATCCCAACACAAATGTTATTCTTCGTCTCGATATGATAGTTATTGACTCAAAGGTATACAACTGCAACCACATCAATTCAAACTTTATGATTAAAGTTTCAAAATTTGATCAATATGCTTATTTTACTTTTTCAGGGTAATGATATTTGGTTGGAAATATCCGAAGGAAAAATTAAAGGCTTTTAACCCCTGCTTCATTACCAGACAGTCTACACCATCATGAAATTCAAGGTCACTCTGGAAATAGGATATTACAGGCCAATTACAAAAAATTGGTCACCGAGTTTGGAACAAATACGAAGGCCCAAACATGCAACAATATCAAGTTTTATTTCATCAAACAAGATGGGATTGACAAGAAGTGCAACCAAATAAAATTTCTTTCAGATTCGAATTACTATTATTAATTCAAATTTAATTCAAACGGATGCATATAGAACCAAATCATTCACTTTTCAATTTTTCATTCCATAGATGTTGTTGACCAACTTATTAAGTATTCATGTTCATTCGCAACTACAAGACTCACAGGAACAGTGACCCGCAAAGAGCTCCAACGAAACTTCTCGAGTATGTAATTCTTTTAGCTTAAAAAATAGGGAGTATTATGTCGAGTTTCGAGGAATTTATATTTCATCAAACAAGATGGGATTGACAAGAAGTACGACCAAATAAAATTTCTTTTATATTCGAATTACTATTATGAATTCAAATTTAATTCAAACGGATGCATATAGAACCAAATCATTCACTTTTCAATTTTTCATTCCATAGATGTTGTTGACCAACTTATTAAGTATTCATGTTCATTCACAACTACAAGACTCACAGGAATAGTTACCCACAAAGAGCTCCAACGAAATTTCCCGAGTATGTAATTCTTTTAGCTTAAAAAATTGGGAGTATTATGTCGAGTTTCGAGGAAGTGGCTGACAATCAATCCCAACACAAATTTTATTCGTCATCTTGATATGATAGGTATTAAATCAAAGGTATACAATTACAATCATAGTTAGTAAATACTCCGTTTAATACACGTATATGTACCCGTACGTACTTTATCCGTTTAAAACTTCCGTATCCGTATTATTGTCAAGCCGTTTCATTTTCCCCCGTTCATTTCATGGTTCCCGTACTAAACACGTATAAAACCCGTATAACACGTTTATTATCCGTATTTTACGAATTAAATTGTTAACTTTACTATTATTTATATATTTATTTATTTTTAAAATGATTAATTTTATATATTTATGACTATTAACGTACTATTAAACGTAATTTTAGCTTAAAGATGAAGTATAATGCCCGTACGTATCTTTTACGTAACTTTCCCGTACCGTATTTTACTAACTATGATTACAATCACACCAATTCAAACTCTATGATTAAAGTTTCAAAATATGATCAATATGCTTATTTTACTTCTTCAGGGTAATGATATTTGGGTGCAAATACTCAACGGGAAAATAAAAGACTTTCAACCCCTGCTTCATGACTAGAGAGTCTACATCGTCAAGAACATTAAGGTCGGTATGGAAACAGGAGATCAATTACATGCCAATTACAAACAAATTGTTCATCAAGTTTGGAACAAATATAGAGGCCCAAGCATGCGACAATATCAAGTTTTATTTTATTAAACAAGATGAGATTAACAAGAAGTGCAACCAAATGAAATTTCTTTCAAGTTCAAATTACTATTATCAATTCAAACGGATGAATATAGAACCAAACCATTCAATTTTTATTTTTTCATTCCATAGATGTTGTTGGCCAAGTTATTAAATATTTAGGTTCATGCACAACTACTAGACTCCTTGGAAAAGTTACCCGCAAAGAGCTCCAACAAAACTTCTCGAGTATGTAATTATTTTAGCTTTCCATTTAAAAATGCATGATGACTTTAACTCTAATAGTAAATTTAATATATAATTTGGGCACTGGAATCGGTTGTCAAGGCAAAACTCTCTTTGATAGAATAGTAATCCAATTAAATGTCATCATTGCAAATGCGGGTGATCGCCCTCTCATTACATCATTATATGTTGATCGTTACAATGATAAGAAAACATCTAAATTAATTTATTTTTAATCCAAACATTTTCAGTTTAATAAATGATAATTAATTAAATGATCGTCGAATTTGTAGGTGAGAACACCTTCTCCTTAACTGGAGCGACTTGGTTGTTGGTGAATTCAAGAATTCCGAAATTTATTAATTTTATGCCAAGGTAAAATTCAAGACAATTTAGTCATCATATTTGGTTATTCGCTATACGTTTGA